CGCGGGAGCTGGCGTCCCCCACACCTTGCAAGGTGACTCGGGTGGCGATGGGGGAGATGGAGGCACCCCAGTCACCAGGCATCGCTGGAAATCTTGGCAGCCGAGCCTTGATAACGTGAAACGGAGCCAACCCCGGCACGCAGAACACCCAGGCGCTGATCTGGTGAGGGGAGACTCCATTCCTACATGCGGTTTAAAATTGATACCCCCATGAGGCATGTTAGAAAGCAAAACATTGATGCTGTCTTCACTGGAAGCATCGGTTGCTTTGTTTTTTTAATGACACAGAAAGCTGCCTGCAAAGAGATAATTTCATTCAGCCTAGCCCTTGCTGGATGTGGAAGGAAGTCCTTGGAGGTGACTCCAACGAATCCAGTATGCCACCTAGCCCTCGCTAGCTCTACTACACCCACCGCTGCAGCACAGGCTGCTCGCGCCTGCTGGAAAGGGGCTCCCAGCATGAAGCTGTGAACACCTCTCGGGGTTAGCATCGCAGGGATGGAGGCATCACCCGAGAGAAGGACGAACATCTTGGGAAGGAATCCGAGTTTACTCCTGACTCTCAACCCAGCCTCCATTCAAAGTGAAGTAGCGTGTTGGTATCTGCACCGCCTGCTGTTGCCCATCTTCCCTTTTTGTGCTTCTCCCCCAAGGCTTGCCCCATCAGTTCCAGTTTTGTCACTTGACATTTTGCCCTCTGGGATTTTTTACACCAAGGCTGAAATATAGGCTGTTTTCGTAACGATGCTTCAGGCACCTGATTTCACAACCTGTTGGCGTTTTTTAATACTTGCACATGAAAAAAATAAAAAAATCTCCTGTATAAGCATTATTTTCCTAACAAGTTTCAGATCTACACCAACTGGACAGTGGTTTTGGAGGGAGAAGAAAAAAAAAATCTCATCCATGTATCTGTGATTCAGCCCTTAATCTTTCTAGATTGCCTGAACTTGTTTGATGTTCTGAGTGCCTCCAAAACACACAGATTAGCCCAAACTGATTAAAGCACAAGTTTCATCTTCATTATCATGCCCAGGAAAGTCAGTGCTTTTGCACATTACAGAGAGTATCATAATGAAGCGTGACGTATCTGAGATATAAAGAATGGTAACTCTTTTCCAAATGACTACTTCTCTTTTTTTTTCTTTTTTTTTTTTTTCTTTTTTTTTTCCCCAGGAAGGAGCCATATGTAACAAATAGAGCCTATAGCAATGAAGTATATTAGCAGACACTAACAGAAACCTTGGTTTCCTCTTGTTTATCCCCCCAAAATATGAAAGCATGCCTTTTAAACATAAAACATCATTGTGACCTCCCCTGGAAGAGAAAAGGCCAAGAGAAATGAGATCTTCATGATCCGTGGGCTCTGCTACAGCTCGTGACCAGCTGTACACTGCCCCATTGCTGTCTTTTATTCCCAGGGCTGTGGGGTTTTTTGGAGCATCAGCACAAATGTCAAGAAGCCAGCCCTTGTGAGGAGCATGATGGCACACACCAAGCAGTCATCTGCAACTCCATCCCTGCTCCAGGGCTCAGCAGGATGGATCCCCATGGTTAAGGCCACTTCAATATTTGGGCAGAAAACCTGTTACCAGGGCACGTCTCCTGGCTAAAACTTTACCTTGCCCTGGTTGAGTATCTGACAGAGTTTCCAGGTGCACTGTGATGGATGAAGGTCCCGGCACAGCCTCGCAGCTCAGCGTAGGAGGGAAGCGAGGGTGGCCTCAGGACAACTTCACACCACTTGGATGTGGCCTGCTCTGAAAGCCCGGGAGACAGCTCCCAGGCAGCCCGAAATTAGGGCAGCTTCCCTGGGGCTGCCTCGCAGGATCCCTGCCCCGTAGCGATCCAGCCGTGCCCAATTCTCCTGTGCCAGGGCTTGCAGCTGGGCTGCACGGAGGCAGCTCCCTACATGCCTCGCCGCTTCGTGTCCTGCAGGCTGGAGTGGGAGGGAAACCTCCCCGCCACCCCTCTCCATACTCTTGCTGTCTCCGCAGCAGAGCTTATTTGGGACTCTCTGTTTCTTACAGGGTGGCAGGGAGGAAAAGGAAAAGCCAGTTCTCTCCTGCCCTTTCACAAAGCGCTCCCAAATCTCCAGGTGAGAAGTGCTCCTCTGCCCGCTGCTATTTTCTGCAAGGCACCCAGGCAGACCAGCAGCAGAGCCTCATAAAAACCAGCAGCAGGATGCAATTAATATGCTGTAAAAGTCATAAGTGTCAACTGGAGAAACCATTTAACAATGCTTCTAGATAAAATCCAAAGGGGTTTGCTTTTCTTACCTTAGGGGTGCCTATTTGGTAGCAGTTAACTGGGATCTAAGCAGGGATTCAGGTATGATCAAATAAAACCTCTGGAAAACCTGCTGGCTGAGAGAAAGAGGAAGGAAAAAAAAAAAGCTCAGAAATGTGGCTTTCTTTTTGAAGGGAGGGGGGTCAAAAAAGGACGGCAGGGAGCTGATCCTTACTCCAGAGCTCCCATGGGGTAGGAAGGCAGTAAAACAAGGAACACCTGAGATGTGCAAAGAAAAAAAAAATAATAATAAAAAATTAAAAAAAAAATTCTTAAGCAGGGAAATTTTGGTGAAGAAAGAGTTAAAGCTTTTAAGCAAGCACCCGTCCTCTTACCATAGATAAGGGTGCATTCTAGTGGCAAAATCCATGCAATGCAGCCGCATAGCTGCCTGATCTAAAAAGAAACCTGGGGAATATGAGGCTCTGGAGGAGTGTGTGCATGTGTGGAAGGAGAGGAGGGGGGGGGTGACTTGAATTGCCCGTGAGCCTCGCCCAGAATTGCCTGATGCCTTCCCTGGTAGATAACCCTGGGCTGGTGCTGCTGAGCGATCTCCCAGCCGCTCCTCCAGGTGTAACATCCCTGCACACAGCTGCCTGGGCTGGCCACGGGGCTGCACACCAGGCAATTTTGGAGATTCCCTTTGCCACGCTTCCAGCTTCCCCACTCCTAGCAATGAATGAGCACTGAGGGAGGCAAGTGCGAAGGACCAGGGCCCGGAGAGCTGTAACGCTGAGGAATGCAGCGGTGGAACAAAAGGCAGCAAACCGCAAGCTGTCCAGGACAGAGGATGAGCATTGCAAAGCCTTTTTTTTTTTATTTTATTTTATTTTTAAACTTCTCCCCCCCCACACACACACAATTTGTGCAGGGCAAGAGGCAGCAGAAGAATGAGCTAAAACGTGCAAATTGGACTTCGCATGGCAAAATTCCCCTTGTTTTCTGGCATGCCCTGAGCAACAGCGAACTTTTCCAAAGAGGAATCTAACACAGTTCTTACAAGCAGCCCAGCCCTCCCTCCTGCTCCCTGTCCGGCCGCCTTAACCCTTGCTGTTTGGGGGTGTCAGGGGCACAGCCTGGCACTGGGGGAAGCCCCCCCCCCTGCCTTTTCACCCCTTGCCCAGGCTGGGGTGGGTGGGAGAGGAGAGCTGGGCACACCACACACACAAAGGCACCTCCTGGGATGAGGGTGGGCGAGAGCAGCTCCCTGGCACCCACCCAGCCATCTCCCTGCCAATCTCACCTTTGGAGCTGATGGTGGGGCGCACGCACCCGCTCCCCCCTCGCCGAGGGTCCCCAGCCACCCGGGCAAGGGGCCGGGGGTCTCCACCCCAAGAGCAGCAGGATCAGGCCCTATTAATACACCTCCCCCTCTTCCCTCCCCAAACTCAGCACCCTGATCTCTCCCACCCAGGCTCCCCGCAACCCCATTGCAACCACTTCTCTCCTTCTATTTCTATCCTTTTATATATATATATATTTTTTTAAACTGTGAAGATCTCAACTTTTTTTTCTTCTTTTTTTTTTTTCATCTTTCTCTTCCCCTGCCTTTCCCCTCCCCATCCTCGCCTTCCCCTTCCCCCCTCCTCCTCCTCCTCCTCCTCCTCCTCCTCCTCCTCCCCTTGTCTCTCCTCATAATATTATCCTTGATCACTGCCCGGGGTTTGAAGCCCAGAAGTCAGAAGCTGCGCACCCCACCCCCACCGGCTCGAGTGTGCACTGATAGGGCCCTGGCTGCTGGCACCCAGTCAAGCTGAGGTGTCATTGGGATCTCAAATTGCAGCTAGGGGCTGGCAGGCAGCCAGGGGCAGTCTATTTAAAAGACAGCCTGTTCTGCAGTATTCAGTCTCTTTAGAAACTTCTCCAGGGGAAAAGTGTTGGGAGATCTACAAAGTGGATTTTTGATTTTTTATTTTTTTACCTCTTTTCTTATTTTTTTCCCCCCTTCCTTCCCCCCCGTTTTTACCGCTCCTCTGCAGACTTTGCAACCAACCACCCTTAATTTTGCAGAAAACTTTTTTTTTTTGCCTTTTTTTTTTTTCTTTTGCCTTTTTGGTGTGGGGGGGGCTTTTTTCCCACTTTTTTATTATTTTTTGATTTTGATTTTTTGTTTTTTTTGCCTTTGCAAATCTTGGAAGAGGAAAGCGGGAGGTTGAACAGAGCCGATCGAAACACAACTTTGCTTCATACCAAGCTTCCCAGCAGCTCGCTGCGTCGGGAGAGACTTTTTCTCCTCCTGCAGAAGAAAAGGGGGGAGGGAAGGGGAGCTTTGCATCCCCTCTTCCTTCTCCTGCGGGCTTTTTTTTTTTTTTCTCCTTTTTTTTTATTGCTATTCTTTTTCTCCTGACTGCCTTGATGCAGTAGGAGCAGGACACTGGTTTGCAAGGAACTTTGCTCCCTTCCCAACCTGCCTCCTCCCAGCCCTTTGGGGAGAGTGTGCGTGTGCGTGTGAGTGAGTGCGTGAAGTCTCCGGCCAGCCCCCAACCCCCTTTTTGCTCCCCCCGCAACCTGTGGGCTGCAGCCCCCCGTGCAGCCCCCGCACGCTTCTCTCCCTTTCCCCCCCCTCCCCTCCCTTTCCCTCCCCCCTCTCTTTTTGCGGTGAGAAGCCCCCCTTTTCGAGGCGAGGAAAAAAAAAAAGAAAGAAAGAAAGAAAAAAAAAAAGCCGGCAGGAGGAGAAAAAAAAAAAAGCAAGAAAGACAAAAAGCCCCAAAGCAAACCTAGCCTCCCCCCCCCCCCCCCCCCGCAGCCAAAAAAAAAGCAAAGCGGGAGGCTCCCGCACCCCAATAACCCCCAGCCTGGGGCGCCGGCAAGCGGGGGCTGCGCTTTGCGCCCTTTTTCTTTTTTGAATCCGATTTTCTCCTTTCTCCCCGCACCCCCCCGAGCCCACAACACCCCCCTCCGAGCCCCCCGGAGGGGGCCAAGCGGGAAGCGAGCTCCGCCCGCCCCCCCATCCTCCCCCCCCCCCAGGCTCCCCATCCCATCCCATCCCGCAGCATCCTAACCCCGGCGCGATGCTGCTGCGGCTCCTGGTGCTGCTGGGCGCCTGCCCGGGGCTGTCGCGGTGCCTGGGCTCCTTCGTGCAGTGCGAGCCTTGCGACGGCAAAGCTCTGTCCCTCTGCCCTCCTCCTCCCTTGGGCTGTGAGCTGGTGAAGGAGCCGGGCTGCGGCTGCTGCCTCACCTGCGCCCTGCCCGCCGGGCAGCCCTGCGGCGTCTACACCGAGCGCTGCGCCCGGGGGCTCCGCTGCCTCCCCCGGCAGGGCGAGGAGAAGCCGCTGCACGCCCTGCTCCACGGCACCGCCGTCTGCCTGAGCGAGAAGAGCTACCGCGAGCAAGCCAAGGCCGGTGAGTGCCCCGCAGCCGGCTCCCTTTCCTCCTTTCCGTCTCTTTTTCCCTAATTTTTTTTTTTTTATCCCAATCCCGGAGTGCGTTTCCCTGCCTGCTTTTTTTTTTTTTCGGCTCTCCGCTTGCTTTGCAGCTCCCCCCCACCCCTCCCCCGGCTCTATTTTTTTTTTTTTAATTTTTTTTTCCCCCTGCCCCCGCTCCCGCAGCTCGCCGCCTGCGTTTTGCAGCGGTCCAGGTGCCTCTTCCGCGCCCCCGCTTGCTTTTTTTCCGGCTGCTTTTCCATCCTCCGGCCCCGCTTTTCCGTCCCCGGCTGCTCTTCCGTTTCCCCTCCCCCTGGTGGCTTTTGCTGCCTTTCCGGCTGCTCTTCCATTCCCCTCCGCCACCGCCAGCTGCCCGTCCATCTCCCCAGCTGCTTTTTTCCTTCTTTCCACCTGATTTCCACCGTCCTGCACACACCCACCCCGCCTGCCTTTCCTGTCCTTCCACCTATTTCCCCCTTCCTTCCTCTCCCTGCCCCTCCACCCGCCGCTTTGCCAAGCCCCCATCTTTCCAGCTGCCTCTCCACCGCCACCGCTTCCCCTGGCTGCTCTGCCATCCCCCTGTTGCTTTCCCACTTTTCCTGCTGCCCTTCCACCTGCCCGGCTGCTCTGTCCATCCCCTCAGCTGCCCACCCGTGCCCCCCACCGCTTCTCCACTCCTTCTTCCCAACCGTGCCCCGCTCGAACCTCCTGTTGCATCAGCTCGCATCCCCCCCATCCACCCCCTCTAGGTTGTCCCATCCCCAATGGGGACGTTTTCTTCCCCAAAACTTCCAGAAACTCGCTCTTAGTCCCAGCTGCATCCCCGTCCTCCTCCAGTTGCATCCTTTACATCTCTCCCGCATCCCCATCCTCACCCTCTCCAGGACCCCCCCTTTCTCTCCACTTTGGGGCTCTGCACTCGAGATAAAAGGCTCCTTCTGGGCAGGGCACCTTCCCCATCCCCAAAACCCTCAGGTTTATCCCCTCCTGGGTTTATCGCTCAGCCTCCCGCCTTCTCGTGGCCGCGGCTCCTCCTGGCTGCCTGCTGCTGGACCTCTTTGTTGGGCAATGGGTTTGAGCGCTGGGAGGTGAGGAGAGCAGGTGCACAAGGAGCAGGGAATCCGCGGCTGCAGAAGGGAATGGCAGTGCCGCTAGCAGGCAGGCAGAAGGCATTAGAAGCCAGCACGAGGGCTGGCGCGGTAGCAGCAGCGCAAAGCCAAGCTGCTGAACTGCTCGCACCTCGCACGTGACAAAAGCACGGCAGAAAGCGCTCCTTCGCTTGGGTTAAACTCCTGGGTGCTGTGGCTGGGACAGGGACAGGGCCCCTCTGCTCCTCCAAAAGCTTCTGCCCTTCTGCCATGGCATGCTGGGGAGGTAGGGGGGCGGGCGGGGGTCTGCGAGTCCAGGGAACCTAGGAAAGCACTTTGCAAAAAAGAAAAAAAAAAACAGAATGAAGTCCCCCCCCCCCTTTTTTTTTTTTTTTTTTGTTCAGGAAAATGTCATTTTAGCTTGTTAGCAAGCTCCTGCTTATAGCGGCGCAATGGGAATCCGTTTCTCCTTTCCAGCACCTAATAAATCCTGGTGCTTTTATTATTTTTCCCCTTTGCTGCTTGCAGGCAGCGGTCATGCTGTTGCGCTCCATCCTGCAGAGCAAAACCAATTTCTGTGGGCACGTATATACATTGACGTGTAACTTTCCCCCCTCCAAATGACCAAAACTCTCCGGCCTCTGCAAAAAGTGGCCAAAACTGGCAAAACAGAGCTGGGCCTTCTGCAAGGGAGCTTGCAGACGGGGTGAGGGCCGGGTGGAGAGGTGCGTGGGGGGCAGAGAGGGGAGCCGGGAGCTGCTGCCCTGTGTGAGAGCCCAGGAAGCCGTGCACGAAGCTGCTGACGGCCGAGCTATGCGAAATATCCCCGAGCGCGTCATCCGCCGTGTTTATTTACCCTGCGCGTGTGCGTGTGCGTTCGGGAGGCAGGCGGTGCAGCCAGGAGGGGAAACCATGCAGGCAAAAGGCAGCAGCAGCCACGAGAGTGGGGCTGAGCCTTGCACCCCTAGGCAGGGTGCCTGGTGTGAACCGAGGGCACCCCAAAAAGCTTTGTGTCTTGGCTGGCAGTTGAGTCCCCTTTCCTTCCGCCTGCCTCGCTCTGCCCAAGGAGCCTGGTCCTTTAGCAGGTGCTCTGCGTGCAAACTCTGGCTGGTCCCCTCGTAACGTCGCTGCTTTGGGTTAGCTTGGGATGGGGAGCACCCTTGGAGCGAACAAGGAGAGGAATAGGGAAGAGGCTGCAGGTTTGTTGCGAAAGCAACCCCCGGCACCACCTGCAGCTGCCATTTGGACTCCCTGAGCGCCGCAGGGGGCTCCTTTCAGTGGGTTTGGTTTGCAGGTGGGAGATGAGCCCTGCTGGGGAAGGCTTCTGCAGGAAGCCGCAGCAGACCAGCAGGCTTCTCCCGAGCTTTGCACGATTGAAAAAAAAAAATAAAAAGAGGAGAGAGAGAAAGAAAAAGAAATAAAAAATAAATCAGGAATTCCTGAGGATGGGAGAGGGAAAAAACGCTCTTGGCATTCAACTGGTAGTGTGTGAGAACAAAGTATATTTTCATAGGCGTGTTACTAAGCAACGGGGCAAGGAAAGAAATGAAGTTTGACTTGAACTTTCTGGCCTCTGCCAGTTTGGCCAGCAGCGCAGGGACTGTGTGCTGGGGAAGCTGGCCTGGCCCTCCGATCTATCAATGACCAAAATTGGCCCTGAGCTGCAAACCGCTGAGAAAGAATCAGCGAAATAAACTCCGGGACAGTGGCGAGGACTAGATCAAACTGCATTTCTATCTATTTCTGCACTTGCGCTGGCTGAGCTGAAAATCACAGATGCTTTCCTCCTTATAGCCGAGGTGGAAAGGCAGCAAGAATACTGCAGGAGCCCGGCGCTGGGAGGCCGGGCTTGGCTGTGCTGCAGACCAGATGTTTCGCGTGGGGACAGGATGCTCCTGGGCACCGTGCCTCAGTTTCCTCTTCTGTAAGCTGGGCACGGCAGCGCTGAGAAACGCTAGGGCTCCTGCGCAGGATGTGCTCCTGGCTGGCAAAGAGGTCGGAAATGAAAGCAAATGTAGGATTAAAGGGCTTTGGTAAGGCTCGTTTTAAGTAGGCTGATGGGTAGGTAGTGACAGGATGGTCCCTGTAGTCCTTGCTGGCACAGCAGTCAGACACCGTCCTTTGCCGAAAGCCAAACACCGCTGCTGTAATTGACATTCCTGGTAAAAAAAAAAAAAAAAAAATACATGAATGAGCTTCATTTATGGCACAAGCTTCAGGATTCTGGGTTTTCTCTGTTTTGTTTAAGTTTTGTTTGAAACACACCGCGTCTTTCCATTTTCGCTGCCCCGTGCTCCCGCCAGACTTCCTCCTGCTGACACAGCAAGGTCAGGCCGAGCGCCGGGGAGCGCGGGGCACAGATCGCAGCCCGCCGCCCTGAAACAGCTCGTGGAAAAACAAAGGTTGTCAAATATTTCCTTCTCCTCTCTCGTTCCTTCTCTCTTTCTAGAAAGCGAGCGAGACTTGGCAAGTTTCCCCACGAAACCGTGCGCCAACGATAACCAGGAGGGGAAGGGAGGGGGGGGGGGGGTGCGCAGAATTAGCGCTAAGAAAATCGTCTTTGCTGCGTCAGCTGGAAGCAGGCGGCGGAGGAGAACTGTGGAGCCCAGGTTTCCTGCGGCTCCTGTTGGGTGCAGTCCTTCATCCCGCCCCAACACGTTCCCCCCACCCTGCTTCTCCTTCCAGTGCACTTCCCCTCCCCGCCCAGCGATGCAGGATGCGGGCACGGGGTTTTTGGGACACGCAGCAGCAGCTGTGGGCCCGGGGAAGGAGCCGTGCGGTGCTGAGCACCGGGTCCTTTGTGCAGAGCAGCAGCCGAGCTGTCAAGGCAAAAGCTAGTATCAACAGGCCTGCAAAGCCTCCTATCCGAAACAGGAAAAACCCCATTTTTCTTTTGATCTGAAGTTTCAGCAACAATAACAATATATTAAAAAAAAAAAAAGAGAGAGAAGGTGAAATCCATCAGGTGCCAGCAAGAAAGCTGGGTTTCTGCGGTGTGCGTGTACGGGGGAGGGAGGGATGGGGTGGTTCAAACAGGAAAGGAGGGGCCTTGGCTGGAAAGACTTTTCAGCAGCCTGGTTTCTAAGGAAGGAGCAAGAATATTAAGTAGTTGATCCAAATGAAATTCCTGCCTGGTGCCAGCAGAGTTCACCGGAGCAAAGACGTGGCTTTGTGCGTGCATGCGTGCGTGCGTGCGTGCGCGAGTGATGGAGCGGCTCCAAGCTCCCGCGCACGTCTGTCAGCCTGGACCCGCTCCCAGCGAGCCCGCCTGGAGCTGTACCACCGCCTGCAGCACTGGGGCTGGCCTTACATGGCAGCCTCCGCAGATACGAGGGATGCTGGAGGGAGGCCGCCTGCCTCCTCCCATCAGTGCTCCAGCACCAGCATCCTGTGCCCGGCACACGTTTGGCACACGCGTGTTGGTAGGGCAGGGAGGAGGAGGAGAGGCAGCGAGCGGCTGTGCCTGCGAGCACAGCACGGTGCTCTGCTTCCTCCTAACGTCGGCTGCGAGCTTTGCTCGCTGCACTCTGCAGCTTCGCCTGCTCCTTGGTTGTGAGCGCCCATCCACGAGGCAAGGAGCAGCAGCAGCAGGAGTGGATTTAGCAGTGGTGGCTCTCAGTGCTCCTCACCCAAACTGGGAAGCCTGAGAGCACTGGGAAGGGGCAGGACATAGCTCATTTCACCTGTGCTAACTCAAAGGGCAGAGAAAATGATCCACAGCATGGCAGATCCTGCCTGTGTTTTTTTTTTCCCCAGCAAAGTAGTGCAAATTCAGGGGCGGACATAAATGAAAGTGGGATTTGGCTGGAGCACACCTGCCCCTCTACGTGGGCTGCTGAGCAGCAGGGTTGGTATGTGCCGGGAAGATATCCCTGTGAGCATACACACACAT